AAAAAAATATTTCTTTTCATTCTGACCCACTGCTGAAAGCCTGCCTAACTACAATACAAACTTGTGGAGTTCAGCTCTGTGAGTTCAGCTCAGGGAAAGTGTCCTCCAAGTACAGATATGTAACTGAGCTGGTGAGGTTCTCCAAGGAAACAAGCAAAAGCTGCTCTGCATGCCCTCGCAGGCTCCAGAACCAGCTCTGCGGCTCCGGCAGCTGGGGTGTCCTGGTGCCAGTGAGGCCAGGAAGGTGGGGTCTGGAAGACATGTGTGTGCAGCTACCTGGAGGTGTCCTCTTCCATATCATGTTTCAGGCAAATCATCCAAGAAGGCTGTCAAACATTACATGGACTGGAGAGGTTTTATACAAAAATGACGAGGGATGCTTAGTAAAAAAGCAACTGAGGATAGAACTAACAAGAGTGTGCTTACTTGTGCCAAAACCACTAATTATCAGATGAAATGTCAAAGATTATGTATTTGGTAGTGCTGTGACAGACACTGTAGCTATGTGAGGCAGGAACTACAGAAGTCCTTCGTGTGTTTTTGCTAGCACAGCATAGTTTCTAGTTATTTGGCAATGAGCCTCACTTGAAAAATGTTCTGGGTGTAGCTCCACCTGCCCTTTTCATAGCTTTCCAGAACTGCTGCCTATTTCCCTCACCCCATGCTGGCACTGCTGCCTGTTTTAACAGTGATGATGCTGAGACCAAACTGATAAACTCAGCTGAATGCAGACGCCTCTGCATCGAGAATTCCATTTTGATGCAGCACCGAAACACTGGATGTAGCTCTGCAGCAAGCTAGCCCAGACCTAAGAGAAGGCCTGTCCTGTTTATGTCTATGCCTTAACATACTGCCAGCTATGCCACCTCAAGCTCTAGGCCCCAGGGGTGTCACGCCTGTACACGTATGTTCAGCCAAGGGTGCAGGACAGCGCTAAGTGAAAGGTTTGCAGCACCAACAGTAACGTCTGATGTGTCACTCCAGTGGTGGTGAAGCAGCCGTTTTTAGCAGGAGAAATGAATTACTCACTAGCTGTTGTTAGGCCAGAGAGATGCTAAAACTGCTCATTTGGTTTCAACATCAGTGACACAGTTGTACTCATCCGGTTTCCAGGAACTGTTCAGTTTACGTCAGTCAGGGCTCTCCACATCTCGCTCCAGCACATGGCATAAGCCCCAGAAAAAGAGATCTGCATGGACAAGCTGGGGTAAGTGGCAGAGATTATCTTGCTGCTGTTACAGAATAACATATCCAAGTTTTCAATATTTACCATCAGAGCTTTTCCCATTTAACTATTTTCTACAGAAGACTTTAACAATAGGAAAAGGGGAAACACAGAGACCCAGGTGCCCTTTCAGCAATGCTGCGTCAATTACAAATACAATGATCACTAGGTCTGGGCTTATTGGTGACAGTTTTTCTTTCCTTCAATTTGTGTTACGGCCTGAAATCACAAAGCTCTGATCCCCGAGAACCTCCTTTGTAATGCATATCAACTTTCGTTGTGCCCCTTTGTTCCCAATGTGATGGAGCATTGTGGTGCCTGTGTCCAGGGAGCAGGTTTGCTTTATTGTTCTTGTAAATATGTACTGCTGGGTGCAGCTCGGTGGAAGGCATTGAGTTTGTGCATGACTGACGCCGACCCGGACAACTGCTCTGACCCCCAGCAGATGGTGGTGCAGGGACTGCAATGATCTGGAAGTAATAGCATGTGCCATTTCTTTTTGTTTGGAACAGACAGCCAGACCCTGCGTTTCCCTCCCCTGTGCAGCAACAGCTGTATATACAGTAGGGACCAGCGCACCACTAACTGCCACTCCAGCCCTCCTCCTCCGCCAGTAAGCAGAAAACCCTGGGCTCTGAGACTTCATGGAGCTTAAACACTATACGAACACCACATGGCTCTTTCCAATGTTAATAAAATTGTGAGCATTGGGGCATAGATTAATTGCTTTCCAAGAAAAATTGAGTAATAGTTAAATATATCTACCACCCTTGATATTAGACTTTGCAGAGATGGACTTGTTGATTTTTAACTTCTGCACAATAAAAGACAGGGTACAGGAGTCAGTATTAACTAAGAATTTTAACTTTTAGACTACAAATAGCCTTCCTCCAGCTTAAATAAATTTTACTTGTCATTTATATTTATAGAGACCAAAATAAGTGTCTGTTTTGAAAGGAAGATATAAAATGGGTGAAAGCCCACAAGTGATGTTTCCTCCAAGGCCGTGGGAAATTTACTTCCTTGAACTGATAGCAGAGCAGTTTGTATTCGATACTGTAAGAGGCCAGATTTTTTATAACTCACTGTGTATGAGGCAGCTCATCAGAGGTCAGAAATGGCAAATTATAGCATCATGGAGTTAATAATCACCCACTTTATGTCTGGCCTGTGTTACCAGTCTCCATGAAATTGTCTCGATGATCCAGAAGGGAAGTTCCCTGAGATGGTGGAGCAACTACTCCATGCTCCTCCCCTCTCAGCCCTAGCTGAGACGGCTCTCAAACAAAAGAGCTGAAAACCAGGTGCACTCTAAACATTGTATTTCTGGCTGCTATAATGCTTCTGGGAGGCTTTCAGCTGGCAGGTCAAAAACCAGAAGACTTGCAACACTCAAAATGAGGAACAAAGGTAGGGTAGGAGGAATAGCAAGGAAATCCTTTAGATTTTTTCCCCCACTTTATACTGGCATAAACACCTCTTGAGGATTTTATACACAAGACCCCCAAGCTTTAAGCCCATGTTCTAACTGTGAGACCATTCTTCTGCAAGAGGAAATGTTGTTTAATTCAGTGCTATTTCCCTGTTTCTGTGCAGAAAGAGGAAACCTCTTCTGGGTTTGCCTCTCTCAATCTCCCCACGCTAATGAAATATTCCTGGGGGGAACCAGAGTCTCCCAGGGCATAGCACCATGACACTGCTATCAGGTTACACTCAGCCGCTGTTGCTGGGCTAGTGGCTGAGATGTCTCATTGTCTTTAATTTAAAAATTTCATCTGAGACATGAGAAATGACCTGGTAAAGTTTGCTGAGGCCAGCTTAATTCTTGACAAGCCCCATCTTTTGAAGAAAAAGCAATTTTAGGAAATCCCTGCTCACCTCCAGTGTAAAACCACCTTGGGTTGAGCACACATCAGGGTTGGGTCAAGAGAAAAATCTTTTAATTTCTCTTTGTATTATGTTTAATGAAAATTATTGTTCAGTCTGAATTCCTTCCAGACTTTCCTCATCTTGATTCTAGCAGCACTACCTCAAACAACAAACACTTAAACAGAAGTAGGTTTACTTTCTTGACTAATCCCATTAGCTTTAATGAGTCTAATCACACTAGTAGAATTATGCATGTACTTAGTTCTTGGCAAGGTCAGTGCCAGTAATGAGGAGAAAAACAAACTGATAATGAAACCGTGAGTAATAAGGATGCCTGGATATCGGCATTTCTAGAAAAAGATACGGCTGTCTAGAACACTAAAATTGAAACACCACTTGTTAAGATTAAAAAAGACAGAGTGAATCCTGAACCAAGAATGACAGTAAATAAAATTGCAGAGAAATTACTTAAGTAATTATCATCCATGACGTCTTCAGTTACCTTCATAACAGCTGTAAGATCATTAGCTTAGTTGTGACTTATCTGTTCATCCATTCATTTATATGAAGATCATCAATATGATATCCAAGCACTAATAAACTTTAGCATTAAAAGGTCATGAGTAATTCCCTAAGAGGAAAAAGTTCAAAAGGTGTCAGCCACTCTGGATCTGAGCAATATTCTGAGCAATTTTTATGGAAGTTATTTTCAATAATTCCGGCCAGAAACAGTCCATCTATTTTCAGGAGAAGGATTATGGAAAATGGTCTATGGAACTGCAAAATGATAGTAGTATGAAGGCTAGACTAAGTCCACAACAAGAACTTTTGTAACCCAAATAGATATCAACATGGCAGTATTGCAAGTTAAATATTTTTTAGGATTACATGTTCTTTGGTGATGCCTTTGGACTTCTGTTTCAAGATTGTATAACTTCCTAAATGATTTAAATAAACAGCCCCAAAACAAGTATTATCTTTATAGACCACAGCCATGTACTGTCTGTAAGCGACTAAACACAAAATTAGTTTAAATTCTCTATATAGGACAAGAATGAGGTTTACCTGTCACTAAATTCTCCAGAGAGCATTTATATGGTATCCAACTTTACACTTGTGAATCAATTAATTTTCTAACTCTTCTCTCTATAGACAGAATTCCTGTGCACACATATTTGTATGTAGAATTTTAGGTTAATTATTTCTGTCCATATTTCCTCCTTTGACATAGTGTGTGGTTATCACTGGGACAAGGACTTCCCTAATACATAGTAAAATGGGATGGTTTACAATGGCAAATGGGTTTTTAGTGATAGCTATATCAAGAGGTCACGTGCAGTTTGTGGTTTTCTTTTATAGTAGGCTGATGAATTCTTTTTTTGTACCTTGTTATAGTTAGTCTGAAATTTCCTTAAGCATTGTTCTGTTACACATTCCCTGTAAGTAAGAAAAATGTGTATAATTAAGAGTGTGTATTTCTCTTGTGTTTTGTAGAATCAAATGAGTTTTCATTCTTTGTTTTCAAAGACCGCATTTTACTTACACACAGAGGTGAAGTCTGTCAGCATATGTTTTCTCAAAGAGCCTAATGAATTAAAGACCAGACTAACTCAGTCACTAAATTACAGGCTTGGGGTTGAGTGTAAATGTGAATTGACACACATCAGGAAAACAACAGAACTGCAACAGCACCTCTAGTTAAAATGTTTTCCTTCAAAAAAAAATCTGTATTCATACCAATTCAGAACTGTAGCATTGCAAAAATTATTTTTATTTATATATTAATAAAATCAATAAAACATTTTGAGTAATATAATCTTTAAATCTTCCTTTTTTTTTAATTATTTGTGATAATTCATAGTCTAATCAACTAGTTCAATCTTCCCTGTTTTCTTGATTCCAATAGAATGCAAATAACTTCCTTAGATGTCTTCAGCTCACAGTCAGTCCTACAGAGATCAGACAACTGAAAAGAAGCTGTATCTTCTCCTGTACGTTTTGAAAACATGGATATTTTTACACTTTATCTTGCTGTATTCCTTGTAATGAATGACTTTGTAATCCTGCATCTTAGAACTTTAATCTTAGAACTGCTTTGGTGCGTGCACACATTAGCCATGGCAGAAGGTCAGGGCAGCACAGCCACCAAGGTGGGGCCTGGGGAACCCTGCTCTGCCACTGCCTGTGAATGCTGGGGTGCAGGGGGCTGGCACTACCCGGTGTGTGGTGGGCAGCCACATGGCATTTTAGCCTCCAAATGATTCACTGAGGTCTGGTGGAACCTGCAGGGACACCCTGAGGATGAGAGGACTGATGGCACCAGCCATCACTGCAGAGGGCTGTGCATGGGAGGCAGGGCTAAGGCAATAACCTGGTGCCACACTTAACTGGTGGACAGGCATCGTGCATGAGTGGAGGAATGCTGAGTGAGAGAGGTTCAGAGGTGCACTCTTTGTAGAGCCCAGTAAAACTAAGGAGGGATGCAGGGTAATTTACATGCAAACTGACAAAACATTTCACCCAATGGAAAATAAGATACTATTCTGGGGTAGGGTGAGGAGCAAAATTTAATACAATGCAAAGTGTCTTAGCATGCTGTTCTAGAAAGTATTTAAAAATAAGAGGTTATAGAAGTCAGTCATCAAGCTGTTCACACTGTTAACCTATATAACCATATGATGCTATTACTGTTAACCTCATCTTCCCTCCCTTCTTCCTTCCTAATGTTTGCTATACTCTTTTCTTCTTGTCTTTACTCTAAAAGAACACTCTGGGAAGGGACTGTACTTGCTTTCAAGGCAACACCATAATGAGGCCCAAGCTTGACTATAGCCTCTGGGGACTGCCACACCAAGGTATACTTACACCGGAGCCCGCATTACGACATGGATTCAGATTTTTTCTTTGTTCTACCATCCTCTTTGAGACTACAACACACAAGCAAAAACTATTTAACAATGCTCCTGCTGCAGACTGCTAACTAGGGTATTCTTTCTCTTTGTCATCCTTAAGACAATGTTGCAAATTCCCTGAACAGTGTTGAACATCAGCATCCATTTCAAACAGCAGACATTTCTGACATTGAGCTGGCTGGCGAGCAGCTTAAGCGATAACTTTTGTTGGCACATGCACCACAGTTCAGATCTAAGAGATGCTCTGTGGGCAACTGCCTGTTTATTTGCTTTCCTAGACACGCGATTGAACCACACTGTACATCCTGTGCTTATGAAATCCCAGCAGGGTTGTATCACAGTACCTACCACTCAAATGTGTGATTTACACCACCTACAAACTACAACGTCTCAAGATAAACCTGCTCCTTATAATGAAGAGATCCAGATAACTGCGGTTCTCACTACCTACAGTGCTTTTTAAGGTCACTGAATTTTAAAATAGCTGGGATTTCAGAGGACACACTGTGAGATATTTTTTGGTAAGACAGGCTGATCTGAGACAGAGTCTCTTGTCCCCTTGCTCATGTCTCACATGCTTGTGCTAAGCACATAAGAAACATGGAATTGCTTCTACAAAAAAGTGTGCAGGTCTTTTGTTTTCTCATCTTTTTCCAAACCAATGAGGTGGGAAGCAGTTGCCAAATGAGAAGCATATTAATTAGCTAGTGTTGTGCCCAAAGGAATGAGCTTATGGGAAGCCCAGAGCCAAGGCTGAGCTGGAGAAAGTTTGTTCTGGACCGGTCAAACAAGCTGTTGAAATTTTTGGCCTGGTTATCGCAGCTTGCATCTCATGCTCCCTGCTCATGACTGCCCTTCTCCTCCAAAGCTGGGCTTCTTGAGCACTGCTGGCCAGCAGCTCCTGTCCTGCAGCACCATTGGTGGGACAACACTCCAGGCCAAAAGACCTCCCTGCCCACACCAATGGCCTGATCCTAACAATTCCGTAGGCTCGTGCTAGGCTCCTTGTCTTTCCTCGTCTTTCCACACAAAGCAAGACTGAGTGCACAGGGGAACCATATGGATTCCCAAAATGAAGCTGCTGAGATCCACTAAGCACTGGCCAAGTGGTTCTGTCCACAAAACATACATGTTGGTGAATCCAAATTCAAGGCGGTCCTGTCCCCCAGTTGACAAGTGAGAGTAAACTGGATTTCCTGCATGAACAGCCTTCCATTTTCGAAGGTGGCTAATGATTCTGAGCACCCAGCTGGAGTCACCTGGCAGGGCATCTGCTTGGAACACAGGTGAGGCCCAACACCTGTGGAAGTCACATCCTTCAAATATGCCTGCAAGCTGTGATATTCCAAATGGTTTCTGAAGTGTCAGGCCTGATTCAGAGCCCTTTTGACAACCTCAGCTGAGCTTAAATCAAAAAGTCAAACTACTAATTTACATAGCAAACACAAAAATTTAAATGGTGCAAACCTGGTATTTAAATTTTTCTACCTCAGCTCTGGAAGTGCTTATATTTGTTACAGGCCAGAAGGTGAGGTCTAGTTCCCTGAGGTAGTGGATGCTTTTGTTTCCAATAAAATCAATAGAAGCTGTTCACAATCTATGTGAAATACAAACTTTTAGCAGCAAGAAAAAAATTCAATGCATAAACAATATTTAAAAATCCTTTAGGGTTATTATCTTTTCTTCCACCAGCTATTCACATGAAGTTCAAGCTATTGTTTTTGATTGGAATAGTATTCCTGGCCTTTTGAACTGTAGATAATTTATAATTTAAGAAAACAAAATCAATGGTTATTTGTTTTATAATGTACTGCTGTCAGTGATGGAAAGGACTACAATGGTTTCTATGATTATTAATTCTTCTAAATAATATACCTGCTCCAGTATCCAATTAATCTGATTATTAACCAAAGTGCCTTCATTGTCAATTATTAAAAGAGACCAGACACTGCAGATTATTGTGTGCTATATTTTTAGATTTTCCAGTTTGATTCAAAACACACTAAAAGAGGGGCCCCACAAAATAACCATCTAGAGACAGTCCATGGCAAACATCCAGAAACTATTCTTAACGGAATGGAGTTAGCATGAGCTGAGATAATTCTTTAGCCTTGGGAGAAGA